CGAGCGCGGAAGGCGCGGACGACCAGCGGCGCAGCGGAGTGATACAAAACTGCAGGCGAGATCGCGTGACTTATTGCCGGCGTGTGATTGGCTCCGGCCACACGTAACTTTGGCTGCGCTCGGACGGAAGCTGAAACGAAGTATAGCGTTTGACTGTTTGTCAATCTTGATAACGATGTTAGTTTCTCACGTTCTAAAAATGAAAACAAAATTAGACCTTTCTAAAAAGACTATTATGGTTAAATGGGGGATTTTTGTGATCGTGGCGTTTATTGGGGGCCAATATTCATTGCCTCAATTTGTATTAACAATAATAACACAATGAAAATATTTTAGTTCGCAGTTTTTTAAGCTCTAATATAATTTGTTATTTACGATATAATTTCATACGCGCCAAGAAGTATGGCAATCAAAAGTGTACAAATTATAATCACTGGTGCCAATTGTAGCATTTTAATAAACAAGTTCTAAACTAAAAATACTCTATAATCAATGAAAACATTCTAGCTAATCTGAGAAATCTACGTAAAATTAAATTAATTGTGGGTAAAGCATTTGGTGCTCTCAAAGTCGCGACGTTTGACAATCGGCAGAACTTCCAAAGTCGCCGCCAATCTTTCGAAACCATATGCCTCAAAATAAAAAAATAAATAAATAAAATAAAATAAAAAAAGAGAACGCATAGAACGTATAGTTCTTTTTCCTTTGTTTACCATTTTTTTTTTTGAACATTTAGTTTTTTTTTTTATTTTTTACGCGCCATCGTTTTGCCAATTTCAGCCTTTCCAGTTCAAAGGAACGCCTACCTGCTTGCACGTCTGCTCACTGCAGCACGTTTCGTTGGCGCTGGAAACCGGTGAAACAGTAGTGCGTTTTGGTATTCCGTATACGAGCGACCGCAAGCACTGTCTTTGTGTTAATGTTACGTGTTCCACACTGCGCGTGCGCGGAGCCCAAAACTGCCTTCTTGAATTGTAGCATGGGGACGAAGCGCATGCACAGCGTGGAGCAAGCTGCAAAAGCGCAGCGCTTGCTTGTATACGCAATACTAAAACCCTCTAATAAGGTACAATCCCATACCGGCTGCAGCATCACGTTGGGACAGTATTGTTGCATTCGGAAATGACGCGAGCCATGATCGCGAGCGGTTGCCCCGTACCCGCTGAGCAGGAGAACCGGGGGACCTTCCTAAAGCGCTTTCCGTTTCCGCCGCGGGAAGGCGAGCAACGAGCTGGGGACATTATTAGAGGCAGTGGTGCTGCTACAGATGCCAGCTCCACTCGCTCGTGTTATTAGAGAGTTTTAGTAGATCGTTCCGATACCTCCGATAGCCCCGATAACGATACTCTGCATGCGCAAGGGGGGCGGTGGCGGAGTACCGGATATCGTTATCGGAGTCATGGGAACGATCTACTAAAGCTCTCTAATATAGTGCCTGACAGGATCGGAAAGGCAGGGAGGTTTCTCAGCCCATTCCAGAGAGAGCTTCCTGCTGTAGCGACTCTATGACGTCACCGAAGCACGTGACGCTGGGCATACGAAAGTGTGCCCAGCGTCACGTTATGTGACGTTATGTGTTCAAGGACCCTGAGGTCCTTGAACACATAAAACGAAGAAAAGAAAAAAAAAACCTCGAAACCTGCGAGGCCTTAACGAAGCCGCAGGGCTTCCTATGTGCTCCTCCGTAACAATAAACAATTATTTCGTGTTCTTTTTTTTTTTTTTTGCTTGCGAAGTTTGAAGGGGCGATGAAACGATTCTTTACTTTGCGCAAATACCGCTTAGAACGAATCCATGACCTATGATGACCTATGAAACAGGCGTTCGTTCATTTATTTTTATTTTTTATTACACGTTATAGAAGTCGCAGAAAAAATTAAATAAAAACGAGCAGCGTTTACCCCCTCAACTCGCAGCCAGAACAAGCGGCGACGTGACCTGGAGCCGATTATATGCTACCAAGGATGATTATAGGCACGCGCTGGGGTTGGCAAGGGTCAGGACACGCGCGCTGAGTTCGAGGCATTGTTAGGGTTCCGCTATGTTCGTCATAGTAGCGATTGGACACGGGCCACTACCCCTATGGATTATGACGAGCCCATATAAAGTACTCACTCAAATATCGTCAATGGGGAACACATCGCCAACACTGCAACCCCCCAGCTACGTCATCCAAGTTTCGCGAAGGAGAGATTGGAAGAAAACGCTCCCTTTTGTCGTTGAAATTACATTGCAACAAAGGAACATTTACATTGGTCAGTGGCGTTGCGTGCAGGGTATACTTGGGTCTTACTAGTGCCAGTAAGCCCGTGTAAAAAGAAACAAATTCCAAGCGAATATGATGATGATCAGGAACAACAAGTAGGAAGAGGAGTTCCCACAACTGGCTCGTTATGCAAATGGGTCAGCGTCATTGTTACGTTAGTAGCTCGTTAGCTAAACGAGGAAGTTAGTTTGCACTAAGGTCGCTGGATTGTGGGAAAGCTGCGCCGTTGCCTTCCCTAGCCGGAAGCAAACAGATACTAACACACAGACGACAAAAACCACGCAAGGGGATTGGCTAAACGGTCTCCGTTGCCCTGGCAATCGCCTTTTCGTTCCATTCAAGACTTCGACGATTCGAGAGGTTCGTTCTAAACCAGTCGCACCAAAATTACCATGTGGCATCATTGTACTGAAGGCTTTCCTCGACAACATACACTGCACGAAGTAGTAGCTACAAAATTTGATTGTTGAGGGAAAAGATAAAACTACGCCTTTTCTCTCGGAAACCTGCAGGTTGTGATAAAACGACAAACTCGCCAGATAAAAGCGGAATTAGTAATGCTCCGCAAAGAACCGAACATCTTCACTGCAAGTCTGCAAATGGATCTCTAGACTGAGCTTACGTTTAAAATTACGAAAATGTATAAAATTACAAAAATTGCATTTCGGGACCGCAATAACGTTCTGTAGACTGTCAGTTAACAACAGAGTAGATGTAAGGACGACCCACTTTAGAGCATGAAATGCATATTTTAGTAACTTACTGTCGGCATGCGCCCCCCGCCTATCGCTCGCACGAAACCCACGAAGACCGGTCAGCTCCCACGAAGCCTTTCACGACACAGCCGCCAGCAGCAGATCGGGCCGCGTTGGAAACGATGAGCCGCAAATAATGCCACGGAAGCATCGCGATGCACCGTCCCGCACACCCAGAAAATGATCGAGTGCTGATGGTCGTGCTAGTGGAAATAGCACGACGGGTTCTCTCTTCTACGACCGAAATATAGCCCGACAGCGAACCTCCCTCCGCTTTGTTCGTCGCTAAAACAGATAACGGGCCAATCCAATTGGAGCAGCCATCGTGCAGTGCAGTAGTGTTCGCCGCTCCCTTTCGGGCCTTAGGTGTATACGCCCGAAAACGTGGGATATACACTGTCCACTTCTAAACCGGGAGTGCGGTAGAAGCTAGAGTGCTCGTTGTACCAGTCTTTCTTTCAACACGTGATCACGCTCCCGCCCACACCCATGGGCACAGGGAGTGCGGGGTCAGGCGAAGAAAGAGACGCGGCTGATTGGTACGGGGAGTGCGTATAGCTACAACTGCAATGTCAGGTTGTAAACGGAGCATATCCTGCATCACGGGGGACCCCGCTACGGGAGTAATTGCCCGCATCATGCCCGCCGCGGGAGTAAGTAAGTGGAGCGGTATAATGCGGGGATTTGCACCGACCACTTTCGCTGTGACCCCCGACTCGAATCTCGTGCTCCCGAATCATCGGAGCAGCCGCTTTCTCCCTCTCCTTCTCGAGGCCGCACCTGCCCGCAATCTGGTCGGAATGGTCTGCTCGTGCCTCCCACATGCAGGCACTTCGATTACTTGGCAGTGCGCACCCCCCCCCCCCCCTCCCTCCCCCCTTCCCCGCTGCCGACACGTTGAAACTACGGCTGATTAGTATGCGCGGCTCGGAGCGCGCTTTCAACGTTCCATCTTCCTATATATAGCGGGTGATCGCCGGGAGGGGGCTGAGGCAGGGTCTCGAGGAACAGTCTTAGTTGTTTATCGGGCGGGGGAACACGGGCAAGCACGACTATCCTCATGGGGGTTCCTTTTGCGCTGCCACTGCACGGGCCCAATTGCAGCGTGCAGCACGAGTGAGCGACGACCCGCTTTCTTCGGACGCTCTGATCTTCGTTGGAGCACTCGCGCGATAAACTGATCAACACATCTCAATGCCTCGGACTACCTTGAATTGGAGACTGACCGCTAAGATTGCGAGCGCGATCGGGTATCGGGGCTCCCACTGCACGCGAGTTCGTGCTGTCGAGGCGGACGCTGGGGGCAAGGCAATCATCGGCATTAGGGCACTACCGGTTCGAGAACGCGACAACAGTGGCAACGTCGACATAAAATCGCACATAATGGCAAAGGATATATATATATTTTTTTCTTTTCTTTTTTAATTTGGGGGCTTGCTGAGATTACAACTGCCAAGCAAATACCATTATACATATTTTTCCCCTTATATGACGTGCCATGCCGATAGTCGCGCTGCCGCTTCGATAACGAAATCGTCCCAATCGAGAGTTTAGCCAACCGTCTTTTAAGTTCATATATACCGCCACGGACACGCGCCTCAAAGGGATTAGGCGCAGGAATAAAATGCCGAAGGGGGGTATCTGGCCCTGCCTTCATGCGAACGTTTCCCTATAAGATTATGTAACAAAATCGAGGAAGCAAACACTGCAAGAGCGGGCCCGAGGTCGAAGCCCAGATCGCCCAAGCCACCGGCCATGACCTCAGGAATGCACCGGATCACGGCACTCTCAACGAAACGCCTAAAGGTCGCCCATTACACAGCCAAGAAAGCCCCCCCCGATGGCGTACGATCGCGGACATTATGAACTGCGCTGACAGTATTTCACGCTCCTTTGGCACACCTGCCACTTCCCGAGAGCTGTGGTATCGAGGGATGGAATGCGAAATTTAGGTCCCATTCTCTTACCTACTTGATAAGTTGAGAAAGAGTAGAGCTTGTGGGGAACGCGAACGCAGAAAAGGGACCGATCCGGTGATGCAGCTAATATTGTCCGCGGCGAGGGTACATCCGAGTCGCGAAGAGCGCAATCCCTGAACACGTTTCCCCGACAGACATGTTTTGTCGCGGCATTCCCTTCGAGCTTCCCCGTCCTCAAGAATGCAGTCCAGCAAAGTCTGGATCCTCCCGCGAAGCGCCCGCGGCAGCTTTCGGAAGAGAAATGAGCCCAACGTTCAACGTCAAAATTCTTCGGAGTGCATAGACTCGAATAAGGAGACCCGGGTCATCCATTATTCCCGCTGCGCAAGACCCGCTCGTATACACTCAACGAAAATCTCCGCTAGAGGCGTTCCTCACTCGTCCGCACGTCAAATCTTTCTAAGAGGAAGGAATCCCTCAACGAGTCTTGAGGACAAATAAGCCCTATCGACGTGAGAGAGTTAATGGGAGGCCCAGAAGTGAGCTTTTCAGGCGTTAAATAATAAACCTTTCTCTACGAAGATATATTTTTCAGGCTAAGGTAAGCCATAGCTTCGCCGACTGCCAGCCATGTCCTTTTGAAAAAAACATCACAAAAAGAGTTCGCAATAGGACATTTCTTGGGCACTGTAATGACGCAGAGGCGCCATTCAATGAACTAGCAGCGATTTTAATTTATATGACAGTTAGTGGAATCTTGATTACTATAGTATCGAACAAACGACGATTAAAGGTGCTTGATTTTGAGGCCGTTTCAACGGCATTTCGTCTCCGAGAACAAGCGGCTCGTCCCGTGTATGAGGGAACAACACGTAACAACAATCTGCAATGAGTGCTTGGTTCATGAATTCGCCATGTCTATCAGCCCCCTAAGCTTTTAGGCACAGCAAAAACACCACGCGATCGAAGAAAAAAAAATACGCGTGCGGAGCAAAACAATTTTAGAAACAAAAGCAGGTCACCATGCAAAGGTAAACATTGCGCATGCGCGAAGGCATGTCTCCAGAGAAAAGTCATGATCGCGCAACCAAGCGACGTTACAACCCCGGTTCGACCCTTAATCCCCAATTATCACGACGTCACAAGAGCGCGACTAAATCTTTGCTACAACTTATCACCTCCGCTTCACTGCCTAACCGAAACCGTATATCTCACCAGCGCAACCACGGCTACGTCCGCAAAGAGAGCTAGGCCTTCACAACGCGCTCATCAAAAGCGACAACAAAAGCAAAAACGAAAGAGAGAAAAAAAAGGAAAAGACCTGTCAAGCAACGTTCACGGCGTGCGAAAGAGAGGAGCAATTACACCTTGTGACCCGCAATAGGTTTAATTGCTTGGGTGCCCGACATGGCACGACTCCAGGACCGGGGAGTGCTGACCCTCTCCCCCTATATTCCCTCGCCTCAAATCAATTTGTGCCTATTTTTAGACCACCGACACTAAAAGAAACTCTGATGTCAACAACCTTCATTATCAAAGTTCGTTTGCCTATGACAACGAGGGAGTCGCGTTTCCAATCTTACCTCAGAGTAAGAACACGGACCAGTCGCGCCGCAAACAAACGGCTAACCGATTCCTTATCGGAAGAAAAACAACGCATCCACGGCTTTGAACTGACTCGGGAAGAAAGCTGGAAGAGAAGAGCCACAAGCGAGTGCCACTCCAACGTACGCAGCGGTACGCAAATCGCGTCGCGGCTTCGGTAGGAAACGGGGCATTGTTGTGGTAGTACTCACGAGGCAACGCGCAGGCGAGCTTTTCCGCAGTGCATCGCGATCGAGCGGGAGAGCTAGACGTGCAGGACCAGGCACGCTAGCCCTGAGCCCAGCGCGCCGCTACGCTTTGTGCTTTTCGCTCCCCGCCGAGTCTGCGCAACGTGTGCTTTCCGGGTTCGAGGCTAAGGAAACGCGGGGAATTTGAAATCGGAGCGACCCTATCGGATATGCTTGAGTTGAAAGTACATTCTCGCTTTCATCCCGAGCTAAAAGCCGATTTTTTCCTGGTTTGACACTTAAGGAAGCGGAAACACTCCTTGCAAAAACTGAAATAGAGGTTCATTCTAGCGTAGTTCTATTCCGTGAACTTAAATATCAAGTTCGTTTTTTTTTTTTTTTTTCTTTTTTTCACGAAAATGTAACTCAAGGCGAGAAAACACGAAAAACCTCCCACAAGTCATTACGTCATAAGAGGGCCTTTCGACCGCCAAGCGCGTGTCGCTCGAGGGCCGCGCGAGCAATTGCAAGCCTGCCACGCATATTCTTCCCCCACACTGGCACCAGTCGTTACGTCTATCTTCTGCCTTTTTTTTTTTTTTTTTTTTTTAATCGCAAGAGAGCGCGTGCATGGCTTTGATAGGCGCTGAAGATGCGTGAGAGCGGAGATTCCGAAAAGTCATCTTGTGACTCCCGCTCCGGGAAGGAGGGCAATCAGAGGTACTTTAAAAATGATTTTTGCAACCTCCATCCACCAAATTGAAAAAATAAAAATAATAATAATAATTTCGATATTAGGGATCCTGGAGGTCAAATGAAGACGATTTAAGTGTGTTCCCTCAAATAGAAAACCACTTCAGCCCCCTTTTAAGCGACTAGTCGCGTTTCTCTTCACTCACAGCCTGCTTTATTAACTATTGTACTTTTACCATGACTTCCCATCATGACGTAGATGGCATCAAGACGCTGTATTCACTCCAGAGCAGTGTTAGATTTTTGCTTGCACACTAAGATACTTATGTTGGAATAGTGGTGCCTACAAAATATAATTAAAGTTACTTGCGCCTGACCATCATAACAAACGGGAATCACTTTATAATCTCGTAAAATCAACACCCATCGCAGTTCCATACTTTAATGCAAATGCCAAATTTTATCGTAAACATTCAGAAACTATTAAGTGCAGGAGAACCAGTGACATCGGTTAGTGTGGTTATAGCGCCTATGAACATAAACAAAGCTGAATATCATTGTACTGCGAGCCACAAGACTTTAGTCTATCCAGGATTAAAACCAATAGGTCTTGCAAGAAATGTCAATAACATTTAAAAAAAAAGGTTATTTCACCCTTCACCTTTAATAGAAGCTTGAATAACAACATTTATGAACATCAAACTCCTCCAACCCCTTACATTAGTCAATTTCTTTTTTTACATCATGCAGTGTCGTTATAGAAAATTGTTAAGAAGATTTTCACTACTGATGCAACCGCACTACAAGCTCAACAAGCATGTTCGTCTGTCCACTCCATTACTATTAGTTCTATAGGACTAATGACTGTACACAAAGAAAGTTCAAGGTAAAACAATATGTAATGCTGCGAGTTCCCTGCTATCACAGATCTAGATTCATTCATCTACTGCAAGACTGCCTAATGTTCTTTTTTTTTTTTCCTTTAAAGTAGCTAAATTGAATATAGCATTACACAAGAATTGTTCTCGTTATACAAAAACAATATCCGCACAGTTGTTTCCTTATAATATTTTAAGAAAAATATCTTTAGTTACCTTTCTACACTTCTTGAAAACTTCAGGCTACATAAGATGGTCACTAGCTTTGTTAATTCTGGAATAATTTGCAATATTCGTTACCATTACCACAGCTAGCCCATTAATGGCAGTATACTGCATGAAGCAGCCAGCTTAAATGGGGGATTGGCTTTTGCTTGTAGTTCACTCACGCCTGACTTCTGAGCTCCTGAGAGTGTGAACTGCACTTACACATCACATACAGACATTCCACAAAGGATAAAATTGTCAACAGTCTACTGTCAACAACGGATAACAGCCCCAAGCAAAATGTAAGAGCCCATTAAATTGAGCATTCAGGCAGACCGTGGTGCACACAGCACTAGGGTACAAAAAATGCAGACAGTTCTCCAGCTACATTGCTCTGGCTGTAATGAGACACTGTGAATTTTGTGATTTGCAGGCTGAATCAAACTACATTGCAAATGCAGAAAAGAAGATAAAAAGATAAAGAAAGGAAACTCACCCTTGACAGGGCACGGTGAGAAGTTTGCAACGCTTCCCACTCTGCAACTTGCTGGACGGACAAAGTGTTCTACATTCACTGACGGATCGCCGAGCACGCTCACCAGGGACATGGCAGGATTCCCAAACAGACTCGGAGTGGGTGGTCGGTCTACTGATTTCAAACCCATGTTTCTGGAAGCAAATATGCCAGCGAAAGCTTGCTGGTTCAACAAACACGTCCGAGCATCCTCCGTAGATCGAGTTTCTTTGTTTCTCAAATGTCTTCCCCGCCTTCGAGCTGTGTTATGACGGTAGATTCGTCTTTCCAATACCTTGTAGTTGTGATGGCTCTGGAAAAGAAAAAAAAAAATTGATTAAAGAAAGGTGCTCTGGACACACAGAGCAACAACATTCTGCGAAGAACAGAATGATCTTGGTTCATTTTCGTGAAAGACTTTCAGTGCATTTTATAAAGTGAGATCAAGATTGCGACTAAATATTTCTATGATCTTGTTTGGGCTCATCTCCTAAAGGTTGAAATCACCGCAAATGCTCTACTCAAAAGCTTCAAGAAACAAATGACAATGCTTTGTTGTAAGAAACAAAGTAACTCTGTATGCATTTTACCAAAGTTACCATCAATACCTGCATAGCACTAAACAAGAAAAAAAAAAAGAAGAATTAGCTACACATCACTGTGATCACGAAGTGCGATAAAAGATATGCCACGATTTTCACATTTCTAAAGCGAAGTGAAAGGCTGTTTAAGCAAAATCACTGCCAACTCACAGACTCTGTTGAAGAGCTGCTGGTGTCTTCAGCTTCAGAAAAGTCTCCATCCATACCGACCTTCTGAGGCAAGACGCCCGCCACCTGCCTGGATGAAGAAAAACAAGTGAACGATGACAATATAAAGCTAACGCACATGATATGAAAAAAAAGGGTTTTTTATTTACTACGAAACATTTGCAAAATGTTCCTATGTCAAAAGATGTGAGTGACACACACCATTCTGGCAGGTATTTGGAAGACACGGGGGCCGTCGGTACACGAGAAAGACACCAGGGGCACTGAGCGTGCTCGGAGACAGTTACCACGCCGCGCCCAGAACACCTGGAGAGTGATCAATATTCTGGGTATCTCCTCTGTGGCTTCCCCTTACCTACCTGACTCACCAAATTTTGTATTACGTTTGGGCGTTTTTTTTTCTTCTTTTTTTTTCTGCTAAGTAGGATCTATACATTGCCGCAACCGCCATCTATGCGTCGATTGTAGAACTAATGTTCACATACAAGCCGGTTGTAAGTTCTGACCAAGCTCGGAAGCGATTTTAAAATAGATGTTGTAAATTACGTGGAAAGCTATCAAATCGGTAATTTTAGTACAAATTTGACCGCCTAGAAATGCACGTAGATGAGGCGTTCGTGTGAGTTTTGAATAAACGCCGAGCGAAGTTCAAATAAAAATAAATATCTTCTTTTCCTAAAAAGTTCTTTTCCCGACGCAAATGCAAAGGAGTTGCAAATGTATGCAAACGTAAATGCAAAGGAGACTACAGAGACGGCAAATAACAAGCGGATATAAACTTCATGGTGGTATAACAAGTCGACCTTGGCAAACAACGAGACCGCGAAAACAAACGCAAAAAAAAAAAAAAAATTAGAACAGCTGATATACGCTTCCCGGACAGCTTTCACACACGCTATTTGGCACAATGCATGCAGACAGGTACTTTGGACTTCTGATCTCGCGTCTGCCGAAACCCAAGCAACTTATACATAAAGAACATTTAGAGAAACGGGGAGTAAGTTGCAAATATACGCCTGTCGCAAGCTACACAGAAAGCCATGGTCGATTCGCTGGTACTTCTTTGAGACCGTTCGTCCAATGCACTTTGACAGTCAGTTCCCAAGCAACTCGTCGTATCGGCCGATATCTAGGAAGGACGGAACTCGCATGCTTGTCAACTGATCAGCCGGCAACACCCTTTTTGAGTCATTCGCAAGCGGGCAAACTCTATCGGGCCGAATACCATTTTTGGTAACGCAGCGGGGGTTTATGATCGGTAACACAAAACAAAACGTACGGTTTGCCTAGGAGGCCACGGTCATCCCGCCTTCGGTTCTTGCATCTCGGTAAAGCGCTACGGGTGCGCTGCGTCTCGACTCAGGAACTCGGCAAGTTTGTCGAACTCGCCAAGCACAGACGGGATTGTTCGGACTTCCCCATTGACGGCCAGCAGCAGCCGCCGTCAACGCGGTCAGCGTCACGTTGTGAATTGCAGAAGGTGACGCCGGCTTTACTCGTGGCGCCATCTGTTGGAAAGCCAATAACACGCTGTGCGCGTTTGGAAGTTTCGGTTTTGATTTAAAATCCTACCTGATTTGATCAACGTCCGGCTTATTAAATGTACATTGAAATTAAAATAAAATAAAAAAAAAACAATTCATTTTTACGGGGTGTATGTAGTTGTTGAACAAGGCGAGCTGCCAGTGCACTACAAATCTTATTAAACTATTTTCTTTTAAGGTTTCTTTTTGTAAATTTATGATAGACCAGATGTTAAGTGTACTTCATTCTCCATATTAGCAATTCTTTTTGACCTGCTGAAACTCTTGGGCATTCATAACGTTTCAGCAGATTGTGCAATCTTCTCTGTAGCTTCAACAGTCGTTTTAGTTAACCTGGTAGCCACAAGGTGGAGCCACCGCACTGCTAGCCCTGCTGAATAGCGCGAAGTGCCAAATTGAATTCCGATTTGATTTTTTTCGTCCAAAAACTTTCTTTAATTTTGGCGTAACATACTTTTTACTGTCCACCGGAGTAAATTAAATTGGCCCGAATAACACTTGACACTCATCCACATGAACCGGTTGCATGTTGCATGGAGCCAGGGGCACCTTGAGTCAAAGTTGAGATAATTCTAGACCGGGGGACGAAAATATTCGATAAAAATGCCTCACTCTCAGCAGCGACGCTTATTTTCGACCGCCATGCCGATGTTTCAGCACTAACCGCAATCTCATTCAGAAGTTATAAGTGATTTTATAAATATTTCAATAGGAATGAGGTCCCTTTTCGTCCGTTTGCGGTAACTGGCAGCACCACCTAGAGAGCTTGCCTGCGCGTCACGTGACATGACGTCAGGTCCCGGAGGCCTGCACGGGTGCTAATTGGATGCAAGTGCCGCGTCAGCGTTCGCGTGGGACTATGATAGGAAACGAGCCCACGCGAACGCTGACGCGCCACTCGCATCCAATCAGCGCACGTGCCGGCCTCCGGGACGTGACGTCACGTCACGTCCCGGTGGGCTCAACGGGCCTGTCACACATACCGTCCCCCTGTGCACCCGACCTCGAAGTCCCCGAAACGAGTTCCTTATGGGAGGGGGGGGGGGAGGGGGGGTTGCTGACCCCAGTGACACCACTTAACCCCAGTCCCAGCGGAATAATTACGCCGCAGTTATGTCCAATCTGCGCCCCAGAGTCGCCTCCTTTAGTGACGCAGGCAAATTCCGCACTTACGATGCCATCCCTAGTAACCCTGAGACATAGGGAAAGGGAAAAAGGGGGGGGGGGGGGGGGGGGACGGACAGAACAACGACGCTTTTAACACAACTTCTGTCCGTTTTTTCTTTTTTTTTTTTTCTAACGTTTTAGGGTTGTTGTGGATGTCATTCACCAGCTCGCCTGCGTTCTTTTTTTTTTTTTTACCTTTCTTCACTTAGCCAAGCGTGGAGGGTCGCGCTGATCGGCAAAGCTACATACTAAGTATTATTGAATTAACAATATGACCAACCACCTAGCCCACCAGATGATCGTGATACATACTAAGTAAAATGCTTGTTATTTGGGAGTCAACGTTCTCTCAGCTACAAGCGGAGGTCTCGGCGCCTTACTCCCCCGGGATGAAAAGGCCGGAGAGAAAGTGTCGTACGTTTTCCCGGTTTTTCTTTCTCCTTTTTGATGGAGAAGAAGCGCCTAAGAACGAGGACGTCTTCGCTTTCGTCCTTCAGAGTAGTAAGGGAAGTCTAGTGACTCTCTAGGGACGCGAGTGAGGACGTTCTGTCCTCGGTTTCTAGGCGGTACTGTTCTATAAAGAGAAAAGAAAAAAGAAAAAAAACAGGAAAACGCACGATCCTTTTTACCCGGCCTTTCCATTCCGGGGGGAAAGGTGCCGACACGGCCGCATGTAGCCGGGAAAAAGTTAAGTGAAAATAACCGGCGTTAGGAGTGTACCCGCGATCGGCGCCACCCAAGAAAACAGCAGTCTTGGGTGGTATCGCGATACTTCTATCCGATACTGTGGCTTGTTACTCCTTTTTTTTTTTTTTTTTTTTTTTGGGGGGGGGGGGGGGTAATTTTTAACTTTTAACTTTCCGCAAAATTTTTTCGTAAAAATTAGCGGAGAAATTTCCCCGCTAAGTGTAGCGGTGGAATTTACCGGAAAATCGTCCCGCAATTTCCCGCTAAATTCCCCCCGGAACCCTTCCCTCCCTTCGTACCTTTCCCTCCTCCTCAGGAGCTGCGCTCTAATTTGGCAATACAGAAAATTCTAAACGTCCTTTCATTTTTTCCTTTTTTCCACTAATTTCTTTACCTTGTTTAATACAAGGTTGTTTCCCCTTTATTCAGTTACAAATGGTTTAGCCTTCTGCTCCCCTCGCTCACCTTGTATGGGCCCGTCTGTTCATCGGTGTAGCCCTTTGCTGTCAGCTGAGAGAACGTCGCAAAAAAAGAAGGAAAATAGTTCGATAGTAATTAACCGTTGCCGCTCAAACGAGAGGTTGTCATGAGTGACGAACGCCAGGTATTACCGTTGCCCGGCTATGAACTGTACTTTGACCTTCTCGAACATTGTGGCGATATTTCACTGCTCGCTGCAGACACTGCAAAAAAAGAAAAAATGTACGCAGCCCGGGAGATTCTCTTCCAACCTTCGCAAGCACCTCGGGGAGAGTTTCGACTTTCCTTTGTGGACACTACCGCTAGTCATGGAGACGGAATGATGGAAAACTGAAACCTTGACAGCGCTCTTCAGCCTAAACAACTTTCTTACCATTAGGATTTTTTTTTTATTGAATGCGAAAGCATTAACTGTCCCATGGAGCGAGCCGACGTCATCAGCTTTGAAGCCGCGCCAAACGGCACCTTAAATCCTTTCTCCAAGTAAAGCCAGCTCCCAGCTATAAACCACGCGAAAAGACTAGACAACGGCACCTAGTTTCCCCGATCCCAAAGGAGCGGAGTAAAGCTGATGGATTTCGGTTTCGGTCCCTGTAGAGGTGGTCGCCTTTATTTATTACTTTTTTCTTGACCGACAGGACGGCATACCCCGCTCTGTTTTGTTTAGCCGCCTGACGGCGCTTCGGTCGGGGGTGGGGAGGCGCTTTGGAAGTCGAGTGTCGCGTTTCAAGGGGTCCCGTGCCGTTACAAGTTGGAATTCTGCTTGTTTATGAGCTTTTCCCGGTATCGGGGAAATGGCCGCGGGCATTTCGCCCCCTTCGTTGCATTTCATGCGGAACCCCGGTTTTCGAACCCACGTGAAAACACTTAACTTGCCGACGAGAGGCTGCTGTCTTGGCGCCGCGTGCGTCTACCCATTGACCCTGAGACGCGAAGCCAGATGTAAAGGTTTGCCGGGGAACCCACGGCCGAGACATTAACACGTCACCGGTCGCCAGGTCGTTTGCTGGGAGACAAAGTGCTTCAGAGCTCTTGAAGTCGTGTCTCGGAACTCTTCCGTGACGCCCGGGAACCAGGCGCTTCCTATATATTCTGCATATGCCTGGCGGTGGCCTTTGGCGGTGGCATTGACGTGCCCCAGCCGACATGTCTCGATGGTTCTTGCCGTTCGCGAATGTGTATCCTCTGTGGCCAGATAGGAAAGCCATAAGTCTTATTTTATCCTCGGCTTCTGAGAACCAAGGCTCGGCTTATGGTTCACTCCCGGAGCAATGACCTCTCAGCCGATTGGTCGAAAGTGCGCTGTGTGTAGGCGTTGAAGTTTGGTTCCTCTGGCCAATGGGACCAGGGTCGAACCCTGATTGGCCTACGCGGGTTCGAGCCCGCTGTTTTAGACCCTGGTCGGACAGGGGAATCTTTGAG